AAAAAAAAAAAAAAAAAATGGCCGAGGCTTGTATTTGTGCGGTCTGTCAGAATGCTGCTGGAAATGTTGTTGGGAAATTGTTTTGTAAAATTCTGTCTCCTATCTCAAATCCAATCACTCTTGTGCGCAACTGCAACAACAATATTAACAATCTGACGCAACGAGCTGATGAGTTGAAGCTTAAAAAAGTGACTGCAGATGACTATGTTGATCTCGTTCACAGAAGAGGGCAAGAAATCGTACAAGAGCTCGAGGATTGGCTGACTAGTGCCTACAATCTCACTAAAGATGCGGACAGATTAGCAGCTGATTCCGAAGGAAATGCCAAGAAGAAGTGTTTCTTTGGGCTGTGTCTCAATCCCATATCTCGTTACCAACTCAGCAAAAATGCAAAGGAGAATTCCGAGGCTATTGTTCATCTTTTGGGAAAACCTTGTGTGCCTAACCTCCCCAATTCCTACATTCACTCAAGAAAGGATGTTCTCGAGAGGATCATGCAGGCACTGCAAAGTCAAAGCAGCAGCATTATAGGGGTGCACGGGATGCCTGGCATGGGGAAGACGATGCTGGCCAAAGAAGTTAAAAGAAAAGCAGAGCAAGACAACTTGTTCGATGCGGTAGTCATGGTTCTTGTTTCAAGGAATGCAGACTTGAAAAAGATTCAAGGTCAAATTGCCCGTGGCTTGGGTCTAGATCGGCTTCCCAATGGAATTACAACTCAGGATGTGGCTGAACGTATTAAAGAAAGGCTGAAGAAAATGAAGAAGTTTTTAATCATTTTGGATGATATTTGGAGGCCTGGAATAGATTTGGAGGAGCTTGGAATTCCTCTTAGAAACGAGCCAAAAAAGATTGAGGGGAGCTCGTCAAGAGAAGAATATGCAGAACGCAAAATTCTGCTAACTTCCAGAGATGCTAATGTTTTATCAGATCTGATGGGTTCTCAACAAAACTTTCCACTTCATCAATTAAAATATGAAGAAGCATGGGAGTTGCTTAAAAGGATAGTCGGTGACCGGGCAGAGAGAGATGATATACATAGCGCAGCCATTGAGATTGTCCGGAAATGTGGGGGCTTGCCCCTTGCAATTACAACAATGGCAAAGGCTTTGAGAAATAGGGAGCCTTACGAATGGATGGATGCTGTGAGAATACTAAAAAGGCCCTCTTCAGAAAACTTTGATGGCATAGCTGCAAATGTTTATTCCGCTATTGAGCTCAGTTACTCTCATTTGGAAAGCGAGAAGCTCAAGAAGACATTTTTGCTTTGTTGCCTAATCGGTCACGGGTATTCCATTCAATACTTGTTGATGGTTGGTGTGGGCTTAGGCTTATTTGCTAACACCATAGAGCAAGCACGAAATGAAGTACTTACTTTGATAAGAAAGCTCAGAGCCTCTTCTTTGCTCATTGATAATTCTGACAGTAATTATTTTGATATGCATGACCTTATTCATGATGTGGCTGTATCAATTGCAAGTAGGGATCGTCATGGGTTGCTGCTAACAGGTGATCATGAACCGAAGGAGTGGTCAGACAGGAAGGAAATGAAAGGTTTCAAATGGATTAGGCTGCAAAATGCTAATATTAATGGGCTTCCTGATGAGTTTGAAGGTCGTCAGCTTACCTTTTTTAGTTTGGAAAATAATGAAGCTTCTCTGAAAATTCCAGAAGAATTTTTCGAGGGAATGGAGGAACTCAAGGTGCTGGATTTGGCTGAAATGCATTTTACTTCCCTACCTTCATCAATTTGCCTCCTAAAAGTCCTCCATACATTATGTTTTTATGGTTGCTCGTTGGGAGACATAAGCATTATTGGAAAGCTGAAGAATTTAGAAATTCTGATCATTAGTTGTTCTGATATTGAAGAGCTACCAAGGGAAATTGGCGAGTTGACTCAGCTAAAGTTGTTAGATCTGAGTTGCTGCTCTGAACTAAAAATAATTCCGCAGCATGTCTTGGCAAGGATGTCCAGATTAGAGGAACTGTACCTGGGAAAAGGCTTCGATGGATGGGGGGTTGAGGAAAATGAAAATCAAAGAAATGCGAGCCTTGCTGAGTTGAAGCATTTGAAGAAATTAACTAATTTAGAGGTATGCATTCCTGATATTCAAATGATCCCAAAAGATTTCTTCTTTGAAAATTTGAAAAGATTCGAGATCTTTATTGGACCTAAGTGGGAAGACCAGGATAGTTCCTTTGGAAGCTCAAGAATATTGAAGTTGCATTTAAATGCATCCATTAGTTTTAACTATTCAGTTAAAATGTTGTTGAAGATGACTGAAGAGCTACATTTAAGGGAGTTGGCAGGTGTACAGAATGTGGTTGATGAGTTAAATGCTGAAGGTTTTCCAGATTTGAAGTATCTCTATATCCAAAATGCTCCAGAGGTTCAACATATCATTAAATTAGCGAAGGGGGTTCCTTTCAATGCATTTCCCAGCTTGGAAGAATTATTTCTCCAGAATTTGATTAATTTGGAGAAGATATTTCAAGGCCGGTTCAGAGAGACAGCTTTTAACAATTTAAAAACTATTACCATTGAATGTTGTGATGAGGTAAAGAATTTGTTCTCTTCCTCTATAGCCAGACAGCTTCGTCATCTACAAGAAATTTCAGTGACAGATTGCAGCAATATGGAAGAGATTGTTGATGACGAAGAGC